CCATCTCACTCTCCACCCACCCACCACTTTACACCCATTCACCTGCCCATCTGATTCTCCACCCACCCACTACCCACCTACTCATTCACCTGCCCTTCTGACTCTCCACCCACCCACCACCTTACACCCATTCACCTGCCCATCTGACTCTCCACCCACCTCTCTGTCCACCACCATCCTCTCGCACAACCACCTACTCACCCTCCTATCCACACGTCCATTAACTCGTTCATCCATTTCCCCATCCATCCAGCCTTCTGTCCTTCCATCCCTTCATCCATTCAGCAATGTGTCCACCTGGGATCACTTGTGGGATGTCCAGGCAAAGATAGGTTTACCCCAGGTTCACTGCCTTCATTCCTGCCTGGGGCCAGTGAGGCTGGCTCTGCATTCCATGTTCGTTCCTGGGAGGTCGGGCATGGTGAGCAGCCTGCACCAGGGACTGCAAAGCCAGCAGCTAGGGTCTGGATGAGGGTTGTGAGGGCTCTGGCTGATGGGCAGTGTGGGGCCCTTGCCAGGTGAATGGAAGCTGTGATGACACTGGCCAGAGAGGAAATTAAGGGTCAGCTGAGACCCCTGCAAGCATGGCACTTCCCTGCTGGCCTCGGGCCCTCCCCAGGATAGGGCCCCTCCCTGATGCCCCTCTGGGGATGATGTCTTTACAGTCTCGTGGTCAATCTTAAAAAATCATGTACAGGGGCGCCTGGGTGGCTCAGTCCATTAAGCGTCTGCGTTTGGCTCAGGTCGTGATCCCAGAATCCTGGGATCGAGCCCCATGTCTGTGCGGGGAGTCTGCTTCTCCCTCTCCCTCTGCCCCTCCCCCTGCTTGTGCTCTCTCTCTCAAATAAATAAATAAAATCTTAAAAAAATTCATGTACAGTTTGCTTTCCATGTCATTACATATTTATTGTTTTAATATAAAAATAGCATTTTGAGTTATCATCAGAAAAGCCGCCCTCTGGAGTGCTGGCCCAGCTCACCTGTACCCACACGTGCTCCTGTGCACAGGCCGTATACCTCGGACCCAGGAAGGCCACCATGTCAGGGGAGTAGGCTTAGGTCTTCCCTGCTTCCTAGATGCCGCCAGCCAGCAGCCTCCCTCTTGCATACCCCAGGGCTGCCCTCAAGGCCACCGAGGTGAGGAGGCTGTGGACTACAGGCCCAGCATCCCCACCCACATGCAGATAGAGGGGTGCACCGTCAGGCTGAGGCAGAGAGCATGGGCCCCAGACCCAGAGTCTCTGCTCTTTGTGGATGGTTACACGGTACTCTTCCTCCAAGCTGGCTGGCATTTGGGGGTGTCTCCTGGGAGACACACAGTCATTTAGCTCCAGCTGAGAGAACTGGGCAATGGGAAGGTCATTGTGGGGTTTGGCTACCTTCTCACTGCCTTAGATTTCTGGGCCCCTGCCAGAGCAAGTGGGCCCCCTCTACGGGGGAGTTCCTTGGAGCCCAGAGTTGGAACATGCTGGAGGGCCCAGGGCAGGGAAGCTGGAGGCTGGGGCTGTCCCCAGGGTCTGCAGCCCCAGCCTGGTCTGAAGGGGAGCCTGAGGTCAGTCAGGAACCCATGTCCTGGCACAAGGAAGGAGGAAGTCACCTCCTAGGTATGAGGCCCACAGATATCCTTTTTTTTTTTTTAATCTTTTATTTATTCATGAGAGGCAGAGAGAGAGAGAGGCAGAGGCAGAGGGAGAAGCAGGCTCCCCACCCAGCAGGGAGCCCAATGCGGGACTCGATCCCAGGACCCCAGGATCATGACCTGAGCCAAAGGCAGACGCTTAACCATCTGAGCCACCCAGGTGCCCCACGGCCCACAGATATCCTGATCACCACCTCCCAGGGCCTTGAGACCCATACTTCGACCAAGGGCTTGAGTGACCTGGCTCCACCCCCTGCCCCCCAGGGAGGAAGACCCCACCATGCTTGCCTGGGGCCACCAGCTTCAGTCCATCCATGCACAAGGCCTACTCTACTGTCTGAGTAGCACCAAGTGTGGGGCTGCGTGCATCTGTGGCTGGTACCCAGGTAGCAGTGGGTGTGCCCAGGAGGCTGTGTGCCCACAGCCATGGACATGCCATGCTCTTTGTCCCTTACTCCCCGCTGGCCAAAGAACCCAGTCTATACCTCACTTTCTTCATCCCCCGCAAGCTCCTCCCCTCCCCCCATGATGGCCACCGCCTCTCCCAGCCCAACATACTGACTTCGCTGCCCCTCTGCTGGGTCACACTGCCTGTTTTATTTGCGTGACAGGTGCTGGGAAAATGAAACTTAGCTTCTGGGACCTATGCTGGCCTTTTGCTTCACTGGGCCTTGGTTTCCCCAGCTTCACAGTGGGCTGGGCTCCATGGTGTCTTCAACTCTATGTACACGCATGCCCCCCAACCCTGTCCCTGGCTCAGCTGGTACCGATGGCCAGGCCCAGCACCGACCCCTCCTTTCTAGGGTTCAGTTCTTGCAGCTGGCCTTCCAAGGGTGCTGCCCACTGCTCTGTGTCTCTAAGCTCAAGCCCTGTGTTGTGCAGGGGCCCCAGGGCCAGCAGAGTCTGCCTCAGCCGGCTGGTGTGGGCTGAACCAGGAGGAGGCCCTGAGCACATGGCCTGCCCTCCGCCTGCTGGCCTGCTGCTATGTGCAGGTCTGGGCTCCATATACTTCCCCTGCTTCTTTTTGCTCATGAAGAACAAATATGCTGGGCAGCCAGGGAGCAAGCAGCGAGAAGAGTGCTGGTTTGTGGTTGCAGCTGCTGAGTTCCTGCCACCCCTACCCACCACCCTGGGGCCCTCAGGGGCAGCACCGGGCAGGGGCCCAGGCAGGCCTGACCCTCCCCACAGACTGGGCCTCAGACGCCTGGGACCCTGCCCTCCACCTTCCCTCCAGATCCGGCGTGAGGCGCCTGGACCACTTCTGAGTGCAGAATCCCAACCAGGCTGTACTCAATTTTTACTCTGTCATGTGGGTAGATAGCACCCTTGTTCCCAGCCAGCGTGGCTGTGAGTGGAGGCCTAACTGCTGGTCCGCAGGCCGGTGTCATCCCCTCACCTGCCCAGGTGTCCCTGGCGGCTGTGGAGCGGCTTCTCTCTCCCTGCCCACTGGTGCACCAGCTGTGTGGCTATGGCTGGGGGCCCTGCCTTCTCTGGGCTGGAGCACTGCCTCCGAGAGTTGGGCCTGTGCTGGCCCCATGAGGTTGGGATGAGCTGGCATGTGCTGTGGGCAGCAGAGGGCCTGGGATCTGAGAGGTCGTCACGCCAGCTCTTCCTACCCTTCCCTTCCCAGAGGGCTCTGGGACGCCCAGTCAGTGGTTCTGCTGAACCTGGCAGGAAGCAGGGGCTCCCAGCTCAGAGCCCCCACACTCCACAGAGAGGGAGCCGGCTGCTTCCAGCCAGCCTCGGATTAATGGCTTTTAATTTAGAATTTAATCAATGCGGCTTCTCTCTGGAGAGCTGGATGCTCTGGTCTGGGAATGAGTTGTATGATCTGTGAGTGGGGTGGGCATGGGGCCTATGATGGCCTCTCCAGGCCTCTGTCTTGGCCCCACCCTGACCTTGCTCTGCTTTGCCTGCAGCCTGCTGGCATCCTGGTCATGGAGGACTGCAACGTGCACTCGGCTGCCAGCATTCTGGCCTCGGTGAAAGAGCAGGAGGCCCGCTTTGAGCGACTGACGCGAGCCCTGGAGCAGGAGCGGCGCCATGTTGCCCTGCAGCTGGAGCGTGCCCAGCAGCCTGGCATGGGCAGTGGTGGTGTGGGCAGTGGGCAGCCCTTGCCAATGGCCTGGCAACAGCTGGTCCTGCAGGTAACACCCCAGTGACTCCAAATGGGTGAAAATGGCCAAGTAGGGAAACAATCAAGGGGCCTTGGACTACAAGCCAGTATTGAATGACTTATTGCAAGATATCCTGAGGCCTCTGAGGAGGGGAGGAGAATGGGATCCCAAGGGGGCTGGAAGTTTCACTTCGGTGTGCAGGACGCCATGTGATGAATGGGCAGGACACAGCCCAACCCTCAGAATGGCACCCTCCACTCAAGTGAGTCCTCAGAGCCCAGGTAGCTGGGCAAAGTCTATTCTGGGCAGCTCTGCAGTCACCCTGGTGACACTGAGGGTTTTACCCGCCCTGGAGTCTCCTTGCTGTGGTTTCCTCCTTCGTCGTATGCATCAGTGAGTCAGCTCTAGAGGAAGGCTTGAGCAAGGCCCCGGGCTCTGCCTACGTCTCAGAGGGTGACCCGGAGCCTCCATTTCTCCACCAGCCAATGCCCTTAAACTGGGCTCAGGCCCCTACTCAGCCCCAAGAGGCGTGAAGCCCTGTCTCCTCTGTGGCCAGGCCCTAAGGCCTCTAAAGTCAGGAGTAAATGGCCTGGACCCCTCCCTCCAGGCACTGTACCCCAGTGCCTGACTTATGGATGGGGCACAAGAGCACTTGGTTTATGGGATGGTAGGGGCAGAACAAGAAAACGTGGGAGGCCTGGAGTTTGGTGTGATTTTTCAGATCACAGTACTGACTGAGGCACAAGGCAGGGCAGAGCTGTCCCAGGAGCCAGGAGAAGGAGGGCCCTGGGTGGGACTCCACCCCACAGACCTCTCACTGTTGCACCTCCTCACTACCAGACCCAGAGGCCTAGGGGGCCACGGCCTACTGAGTCCCCAGGGTTCCTCACAGAGTGACCCTAGAGGGCCCTCCCAGTGGTGTTCTGTTTCTCTGACTCAGCTCCCTCACCATTGCCCTCCTAAACCTGGCAGCCAGAGCTCCTCCCAGTATGTCCCCCAGCACATGCTCTTGTCACTGGGCCCCCACTCCAGGGAACCAGACATACTGTTGGCAGCTTGGGGCCGCCTGCACCTCTGTGGCTGGAGAGAGAGGGAGCAGGTCTCGGGTGAGACTGACCCAGTTGGGCTAACTTTGCCTAGCCAGGGCATGTGGGGCCCAGAAGCAGCAGTCCATGTCAGGTTGGGGAACTTGGCGAGTGACCTTTACCCCCAGAGCCTTGGTGGTCTCATCTGCCAGTGGGCAATCCACACGCACAACCCAGTATGGTGTATAGTCTCCAGAGGGCCCAGACCCACCAGCAGCCCCTACCATTGGGAAGCTGTCTTTCCAAGCCTTTGGTGCTGAGGTGGGCCAAGGAGCCAGTCCACAGGAGGCCAGGACTGAGGCAGGGTGGGTCTAGGTGCAAGAGCCACCCCCACCACCCCTTGGATCTCAGGCACCCCAGAGGGTGAGGCCTGCACCCCCCAGATGTGGTGGGGAGTGGAACAGCTCAGCTGGGCCACATGGGGGCAGTGGCAGTCAGTGACCTCAAGGCCATCCTTCAGGCGCCAGGCCCTCTTTCTAGCCCTCCCAGGCTGGAAAGGGCTTTAGCCTCCAGCCCAGAGGGCCTTGCTGAGGGTCAGTGACCCCACAGAAAGATGTTCCCATAGCCTGGAGCTGCCCTGGCCTCCTGGGGGCTGTGGACTAAAGACCTCAGGCTATGACCTCTCCCCGCCCACTGTCCTCCTGGCCTGCCCTTGATTTTTCTGTCTCTTGGGAGGAGATGGTTTTCTCAGGGTGAGATCGGAGAGAACATGTGTTCTCAGGGCTGTGGCTGGACTGGCAGGGCTAATGGGACATTGGGGGGAGGCGGGGCCACATCCGCTGGCTAGGCCTGGCAGCCCTGATGCCAAAACTGCTTCCCAGATTTGTCTCAGCAGGAGATGCCTAGTGACCTACCTGCTGAGCCCCAGGGCTGCCTGGAGCTGATCCTCAAGGTCAGAGCTGGGGTCTATGAAGCTCAGGGCCAGTGGCAAGGCAGGTCGCTGGGACTAAGGGGTTGAGAGGCCAGGGGCTACGGCTGTGCTCCCCAGGCTGCACCACTGTCCTGGCCACCTGCCTTTAATCCTCCAGCAGGAAGAGCTCCCCGCTGGAGACACCTGGCTGGAGCAGGGCCAGCCCTCAAGCAGTGGGTGTGTGTTTGTGCATGTGGTCGGGGGGATGCCTTTAGGGACCTGGCCAGCCCCGGGTTAGGCCAAGGTGGGTATGTGGCTGGGGCACTAGCAGCTGGTGAAATTTGGGAGAAGGCAGAAGCAGCTGAAATGTAAGTTCCTTCAGGGCAGTGGTCCAGTCCTCCTACTGCTGCTTCTATTCCAGGTGGCTCCCTGTGGGACTGCCATGGATGGAAGGTACAGGGGGCCAGTGGTCAGGGCAACTCACCCCTGTGCAGGTGGGGAGACAGAGGCTCAGAGGGACATGCAGTGGACACCCAGAGTGCTTGAGCATGCTGGCTGCATAGCCTATGTACATGGCATGTCCAGGAAGAAGGGTAGCCCCTGGGGATGGCTGGATTTTCTGAGCGGGGTCTGGGGCAAAGCAGGAGGGGCGCAGGAAGCCCAGGCCTTGCCCTTCTGTCTTGCCAGACCCATGGAACCTCCTTGCACCGGCCCTTGCCCTTATTCATCTCAGAGCCTAGTTTCCTTATTCGGGATACACGAGCCATTGGCTTGCCTTTGTGGGGTATGACCCAAGAGGGCCCCAGCCCAGCCCAGCCCTTCTGGGTCTGCGTTTCCATCCAGCACAGCCAGACTCTCCAGGGTGTGGCTGTACCTTCATGTCATGCCTGGTTTGGAGAAGTCCTGATTAACCAGGCACTGTGATACCACTCCCCTCACCCCCCAACCACTTCCCAGTGGATCAAAAGCATGGAGGAGAAAGAGTCTGAGGCCCTCTTGGCCTCGGGAGCTTTCACCCAGGGTCACCCAACTGCTGAGCACCCCCGCACACACCATTTGATCTGCTCTGACACCCCTAAGAGGGTAGGGGAAACCCTGGGCCTCTGTGTCTTGATGGGGAGAACCCAAGACAAAGTGGATCAGTGCCAGGTCCATTTGGCAGGCCCCGACTGAGCTCTGTGAAGGCACTTACTTGGGGGGCTGTGCTGGGGTTTGGGCAAGGGCCTGGGGCCAGATCAGGGACATCTGAGAGACTTTGTCATGCTGACATCGCTATAACTACTGTCTGATCAGTCCTCATTTTACAGCAGGGGGAAACATTGGGGTCAGGATAGCAGCCTGTGCCAAAGAGGATGGCCGCACTGGCCCCAGCTCTGCCAGAACTCAGTTTCCCTAACTACAGGGGGAGGGGCCTGTGAGTTCTTTTACTGGAGGCAGAATGAGGCCCGGGAAGCAGGACTCGGCCAAAGTCACTAGGCGGGAAAATGTCACCCCCGCAGGGGAAGTGGAGGGACGGGGAGGCCAGGCCAGGCCGGCCGCCCGGGAGTTAAGGGGCGACCCCAGCCCCGCTCTGGC